GATCCATACACAAAATATCCATTTTAATGGTAAGAGCGATGGTTAAGAGAAATGGTTCCCCTCAGGTCAAATAACAACTGTGAGTGGGACAAAATAGAGCTTTCACTTTGAATAACTTAATTTTTAACAATATCTTAGTGCTTTGAAACTGGTTTTGGATAATGTGGATGTATGCCTCCCCAGTGTAGAAAATGAAAGTATGACATCTTTCAAAGATGATGGTAATGGGTATATTAAGTTAGTGATAGCTTCAGTAATCAGTTAATATTGTTATCTGACTACTGACATAAAGACTTGAAAGTGATAGCATAATTTTGGAGGTGTTATCTAAAATTTTTTTGATCCCTGTTTAATAATTTTGCAGAGCAAATAATTTTAAATAATAAAGGGTAATGGAAAGGGCATGCATGGGCTTTGGAGCCAGAAAGAATTGGGTTCTTGCTGTGACTCTGGCATGTAGAGCTCTATGGATTTGAGTAATTATTTAACTTCTTTGAGCTCTATTTACAATGGCAGTAATACTGAAGCCTAAAAAAGTAAAAACTAAAATAAGTAAAAACTAATTTAATAAAAAAAAAGATGATAAATTTTTTGGAGCTCACATACCTGACAATGTATTTGAAAATATGAGAGAATTTCTACCTATAGCACCATCTTTGGGGCCAATGTTGTTCTGTTGACCCTTCTTAAACTTGGGTTTTGTGAAGGGAAACAGATATTATTAACTATAAATTTACCATAAATTCATAGTTGCTAAGACTTATATAAAAACTACATTTTAATGGAAAGTATTAGAGTTGGTTGAAATATTTCCATATATAAAGTTCCAGGAAAGGATTTTCTGTTCATCTTTAATTTTTCCTATAGCAGAGATATCCTAAACCTGTTTCTGAGGAAGTCTGGCTGTGCCTGAAGAATGTGAAGAGGCATGGCACTGGAAAGAAAGAGTCAAGCTACTAAATTTCTGCTAAGAAAACACACCCCAACTTATCCATCTGTTTTGTTTAGTTCTAAATATTTGTCTTTGATTTCATAAGCAATTAAAAAAAAACATGCACCCCAAGCTCTTACCAGAGACCATACCATTGTCCTGCACACTCTCCAATTTACTCCTGTATTTTAATTGAAAAAGGTGATTATTATGGAGGGTTGATTGAAGGAAATGTAATCCTTTCCTTCCTAAGGGCAGTCTAGGGTTTCTGTGATGTAATGAAAAAGAAAGTCAGGTATGCTATCATCCATGGGTACCACAATTCCTTGTAAGGAAGGAAATGTAGACATATTTTTAAAATATTTTATTTTTTTATTTTTAAAGAGAAAAGAAATGCTGGGAGAAAGAAAGGGAGGGAAACATGAATGTATGAGAGAAACATCAATTTGTTGCCTCTCACACGCCCCCAAATGGAGACCTGGCCCACAACCCAGGCAAGTGCCCTGACTGGGAATCCAACGGGCAACCTTTCAGTCCACAGGCTGGCTGGCGCTCAATCCACTGAGCCACACCAGCTAGGGCAGAAATATATTGTTTGAATGGATAACGTGGAAAATTTTTGGCTATATCTATATAAATATTTTTTCTGTCCTCCCTTTCTCCTTTGAGGTCTCTAATTACACATGCACTAGGTTGCTCTTTTCATTTGTTTTATTAATTTTTCCTCTGTAGTCAATTTTCAATGGTTTCTATTGCTATGTCTTCAGGTGCACCACTTTTTCCCTTCTGTAACATTTAATCTGCTGTTAATCCCATCCAAAGTACTTTTCATCTTAAACATTATGGTTCTCATTTGTAGAAATATGATTTGGTCCTCTTATATATCTTGAATGTCTCTACCTCATTTTCGAACATGTAAAATAGAGTTGTAAGAACTACTTTAATGTCCTTTTTTGCCAGTTGTAACATCCCTGTCAGTTCAGGGTTGGTTTCAATAGATTAATTATCCTCCTCATTACGGGTTAAATGTCTCTGCATGCCTGGTAATTTTGATTGGACATTGGACCTTCTGAATTTTACCTTGTTGAATGCTGGATATTTTTGTTTTTCTATCAATATGCTTGGAAGTAGTGAAGTTAATTGGAAGCAATTTCATCCCTTCTGGTTTTGCTTTTATGATTCATTAGGCGGGCTCAGTTTGGGGCTAACTATCCCTCCCAGCTGAGACAACACCATCCTGAGTTCTCTATCCAATGCCCTGTGAATTTTGAGTTTTTCCAGCCTGGCTTACGGGAACAGGTCCTGTTCTTAGCCCTCTTTGAATGTAGACACTGTTCCCACTAATCCTTTCAGATGATTCTCTGGCTTCAGGTAATTTATTCACTCAAGTGCACTGACCCATCCTTGCCAGGGACGCCCTGCACATCTCTGGGCTTCTCTCTTTGTGCAGTTCTCATCTCTGTCCTGTGAATTCCCATTTGTCTCCCTGGACTGTCTCCTCAATCCACACTTTTTTGTATGTTGTGTTTTCATTATTATTCAGTTTTAAGTACTTTGAAATTTCTCTTATAACATTCAAAAATCAATTCCAGATAGATTAGTGTTCTAACAGTGATTAGCAAACCTAATATAATTTACATAAAATTTGAAAACATGTAAAACAGTTTTTTTTAATATATATAGTCTATCCATAAAGTATCCAGCCATATACTACAAAAAAATAGAGACACTATTGAAGAAGATACAAGATACATTGTACATATGACAATGATGTCTCAGTCCCCTTCAAGATAGCCACCTTGGGACCTCACACAGTTCTCCCAGTTGCCATCAGCTGCCTTGTATTTTCCTGAATCCCATCAATGGTCTGAAATCTCTTCCCTTTCAAAGGCGATTTTAGTTTGGGGAAGAACCAGAAGTCACAGGGAGTCAAATCTGGGCCATATGGGGGCTAAGTCACTTGTGTGATTTGATGCCAAAACACTCTGCACAAGATGTGATGCATGAGCAGGCATGTTGTCATGAAGAAGCTGCCAATCACCAGTTAACCATAGCGATAGCCTTCAAAATCATCTGAATAATTTCCGTGGAGGAATGTTCAAGCTTCACATAAAATTTGATGCAGATTCATTGCTCTACTTTCCCAGTCATTTTGAATGTGACAGACACACAGTACACATGCTCACTCAACAGTGTCTCCCACTGCCACTGACTAGTACAGTGAATTCATCATTGTTCATATATGTGCATTCCAGTCCACTCTCCTCGGTTGCCAGATTACATCGATGGTTCATGAACAATTCTCATTATATTAATATTGGTTGGACTTTTTCTGAACAGACCTTGTATACACACATTATGAGGACAAAATGAAATAATAGTGTAAAAACATGCATAGAGAAGTTAATGCCAAATTTCAGAGAATAGGAGAGGACTACTCTGAAATTGAGATATGTGCTTGTAAAGCAAGAATAACAAAATTGTAGAATTCTCTGAAGATTAGTAGTAGGCACATGGATGTTCTTCATGTTATTTTATGTACTTTTTGGGTGCATCAAATATTTTATAATAAAAATTTAAAGGTATACAAAAGGGAGACAAAATAAATAACATTAATTAAAGGATCAGCCAAGGAAGATAAAAAGATAAAATAGAGTAATTGTGTCTGCAAGCCACCTAAGATAGAAAGAACTGTTGGGGGTGGGGAAAATGGTAGCAAGCAGAGGTAATGCACCTCCCTCCCTCACCAACTGGGTCTCCAGAAGGCCTGTGAGCCCCCTGCTTGTACTTTTTATTCCTGAAGAGACGTTTCTTTATGAAACCCTTCAACACCCTAGCTCCCACAAACACCAATAACACGACTACAACACTTGGCTGAGTCATCTGTCCCCCCGTTGCTGGGTCACTACCCTGAGTTCTTGAAGACCTGAGCTCTTGGGCCACTGTTACGCTCTCCATTACCCACATAAGTGATCTTTCCCTGACTTGGCCTTTTGGTTTCTTGCAAAACTCTCCTCCAATGATCATCTCTTTCTCTCTTTTTCTAAATATTTTTTGAAATTTATTTTTAGAGAGAGAGGAAGAGAGGAAGAAAGAGAAGAAAAACATCAATGTGTGAGAAAAACATTGATTGGTTGCCTTCCGCATGACCCCAACTAGGGACCTGGCCCTCAAACTGGGCATGTGCCTTGACCAGGAATAGAATCTGTGACCTTTCAGTTTTCAGGATGACACCCAACCCACTGAGCCACACCAGTCAGGGCCAGTGGTCATTTCTTGCTTGGATTTTGTAGTAGCCTTCTGACTGGTCTCCCTGCTTCATCATTTTCTATTCTTAATACAGTAGCCATCCTTTTAGAACATCGGATCATGTTACTTCTCTACTCAAAATTCTCTGCATCTTGCTCAGAAGAAAAACAAAACTGCCCTTATTGCCTTCAAGCACTACATTATCGGGCCCCTGTTCCCTCATCTCTGGCTGCTTGCCCTCATCCCTGACCTGTACTAATCACTCAGGGCTCCTTGATGCTTTTGGAACCTGCTTGGCATGCTTCTGCCTCAGTTGTACCTTCTGCTCCCTCTGCCTAGACCTTTTTACTATAACTATCTCCATGGTGTGTTCTCTCTCTCTCTCACCTCCTTTAGGGCTTTCTCCTCCATTACCTCATTCTTCATGAGGCCTTCCCTGATTGCTTTATTTAAAACTGTACTCTCATCCCCACCATGCTTTCTCTCTCTTCCTCTGCTTTATTTTTCTCCCTAGCATGTATCACCTTCCAATATACTATATAATTTATTTTGTTTTTATCTGTCTCCCTCCACTGGGAATATCATCTCCATGAGGACAGGGATTTATTTTTTTAGTTGTATATATTGCTGTAATACAAGTGTCTAGAACAGTGCCTGGCACAGAGAAGATACCATTAGTGACTTTGGGGATTCCCCCATTTTGGGGGGTATTAAGGAGTGGGGGAGGCATGCCTGATCCCTGATGTCCTCTGCTCACATTGGCACCCATGGTGTGTCCCCTGTGAGGGCCATCCCCTGAATTGGGCTTTGAGCATCGGCCATGCAGGGTGCTGCAGAGGTACGCCTAGACCCTTGCTGTATGGTACCTTCAGGGACTCCTTGCTTTCCTGGGACTTCCCTGCTTTCCTGGGGACACAAAAATAATTTGGTTGTTTCCATGTCATGAGAGGGCACAGCAAATCTTCAAGGCTGTCTGAGGCTCTGTCTGCCAAGGAGCTCCACACAACTACTCTTAGTGGACTCTTATCTTTCTGGGGCTCAGTTCAGGTCTCAGATCCACAGCTCTACCTGGGAATTCTATTGCCTCCTTGGGGCTCATCTTTGAGTCAGAGAATGAGGACTCTCTCTCTGGGACCCACTGACATCTTTTCAGTGGTTCCCAGTGCTTTTTCTTAATCTATCTTCCTCCCTCCCTCCCCAGGCTGGAGATTTTTTTCCTCATATGGCTAGGAGAGTAAGGTTGCTTTGATCACTTCTTGTCTATGTCGTGAATCCTTTCCATTTCTCTAAGGGCTGGGGCTTTTGTAATCTAAAACTAGGAGAGACCTCTTCTTTCTGCACTTTGCTGTCACATACTCTTTGAAGAGGAGAGAATAACCTGGATGCTTTAACAGTAAGAAAGAATAAGGGGCATGGGAGAGGGAAAGGCTTGGGTGGGGGGTATTGTAAAATGTTTTAAAAACACAGTTGCACCATTTGATAATATATTAACAACAACAATGATGACACGATCAATGTCAATCAAGCACTTAGTGTATACCAGTTCCTCTCCTATGTCCTCTCTCTATATGGCATCTCCACGAATCATAACATCAACTCTTTATTTATTATTATGCTTATTTTCCATAAGAGCAAATTGAAGTCTAGTGAGGGAAAGGGATTTGCTCTGGTTCACATTTTGCAAATGGTAGGCCTGGGCTTTGAGCGCAAGCCTGCTATTCCAAAGGTGGTGCTTACTCACCGCATCTCCTGGGCTCTTGGAAACACCCTGGAGCCCCCCGCCCACCCCCCCACCCATGGGACCATGGAGACGGGGCAACCGCTTACTGTCCCACACTCTGGCATAACATCTGGCAGGGGTGGGGCTGGCCTTTTCTTCCTTCCCCTCTTGGGTGGGGTGCTTCATCTCTGTGGTATGCTTATGTCAGCCTTTTCCTACAAACCTGGTTTCCCTCTCTGCCATTTGTTTGAGCCCATATCATCTCCTTGAATGTTTTCTTTCTCTCTTTCCCCAACTCCCCTTTCTCTCTTTCTCTCCTTTCTCTTGGTATAGCTTTACAAATAAAATATAAATTTAGATAGAAGTTCATACCACAAAAAGGGAAGAAGTGATGAGTATAAGCTGCAAACAAAGCCCAGTTAACACCCTGACACAAGGTATGCGGGCTTTGCAGGGAGGCTACCAAGAATCTTTGGTCTCTGTTCTCGGGGCCCTCCAGGCTACCCTTCCTGACCAGCAGGCTTCAGAGTCCAGAGACCTCTTGGATTCTTCCCCACACGTTAGTGTCTTTCCCAACAAGTAGAATGTCTGTGGCTTTGGAAAGGCTTCTCAGTGTAAAACTGTTTCTGCTGTCAGAGGACTATTGCTTTGGTTGGACAGTATAACTAAAAATCAGGTATCTGACATTCATGTCTTAGTATGGCTTAGAACTAGCTAAGTCAGATCAAGAGTCTCAGAGGACAGTCATTTTGATGCTAGTGGGTAGGGAGGCAATGACAGTAGGACATAGTCATTTGGCTGTGAGAAGGCTCTGGGCAGCTGGGTGAAGTATGCTGTGTCTCTGCAGGTGAGGACTCCATCAGTGCCCTGGGCCTGATCCTCGGCGTGGGGCTATCACTGCTGCTTGTGTCCATCCTGGGCTACAGCCTGGCCAAGTGGTACCAGCATGGGTACTGCTGGGAGGGTGAGTGAATACTGGACTCTGTAGCCCACTTCTGCTTGGCCCCTCCTCTCCTGTAGCAGTTGGGGAATTGGGTGGGGCTGCAAACTCTTTAGCATGATGCCATGCAAAAATATTTCCTGTGGTGGCTGCAGTGGTTGAAGACTTGAGTAGGTAGCTGAGCACTTGAGGTGGTGGGGGTAGGGTACTATGGCCTTTATCAAGGGAGTGGGGGCTCCTCCCACCCCAGCAAGCAGTCAGGTTCTTCTTCTCTCAGAGCCCACAGGAATTCATCCTCAAGGCCTGTATGGGCAGCAGGCTAGACCCACCAAGCTCCAGGTGTCCCTGGCTCTATCCCTGTATATCTCTTCCCCTGACTGTGGGTCTTGGGGTACTCTCCTAAGCTTGCTGATGCTCCTGGAATTTGGTGTGATACTCCCATATCTGACCCACACCTAAACTTTTCATACGACCCAAGAGAGCTGGGAGAGTCTGCTGAAATGTTGAGAGGTAGAGAACATTTCTCAGATCTGCAATTAACTTCAAAAGCTTCCACAAATTCTTGTTGAAGAATCTGCTATGTGCCAGTGCCCCTTTTCCTAAAAGGATTTTCTTTAAAATTCCATGCAAGAATAAAATTCTTAATCTCCATTTTTGTAGATGAAAATGTAAGGCTAAAGTCAGGGTTGGGAAGTGGTAGAGTCTGGACTCAAGCCCAGATCTGCTTCACTGGGACTCCAAGCTAGGACTGCCTCCTTCCCAGGGTAATCAATACCCTTACTAGAGAGAGCCCCAGTGGCAGTGTCTACGCGGGAAAGTTGGTGATTCAGTCTGGGAAGATGGGGTATGGGGCAGGAAGCAGGAAGTTCAGGAACTTGGGACTCACCCACAGCATCCTGAGGCCCACACCCCACTCCTCCCAGGCAGGGGTAAGGAAGTACAAAATGCTCCCAGGGGGGTGATGTGCGGCTTTCCCTGGACATCCTAACCTTCTCTTTTTGGATTGTCTCCCTAGGACCTAATTTTGTCTTCAACTTGTATCAAATCCGGTGAGTAGATTCAGGGCAGGTCCGGGTAGGGTGAGGGTGGGAGGTTAGTATGCAGGAGAAAGGATCAGATAGAAGCCAAAACTTACTGCTTCCCCATCCCCTAAGCAAACAAGAAAGAAGGAGCCAGGGTCCATTTAAAAAGTTTAGAAAATGAGTAAAAACTGTACACAGATAAGATCATGTAAGACCCCAATGCCAGTGATTCTCTTAACATTCATTTATTCATTTGTTTGTTCATTCATTCATCATTTACTCATTGTTTATTCAGGAAGGATCTATTGTGGCAGGTATTGTGGTATTAGTTTCTAAGGGCACAAAGATAACTAAGCATAGTCTCTGTCTCCAGGTATTTCACTGTCTAGGCCTAATTACAAATAATATGATCTCAAGCATAATATGGTGTTGAAAGAAAGGAGCAAATGAAGACAATCAGAGATTCAGGGACTGAGAGTCAGAAAGTCCTCTTGGGATAAGTCATCTTGTCCTCTCTGCCACAGGATAGGCCTGCTCCTCATCTGGTTCTGAGAGATGGGGTAGCTTCTATTCTGGAAGATAAGTCAGTGAGTCAGTGAGTTTGGCTCAGAAAGAGGCTAGGTTCTCAGGCCCAATAACTTGATTGGATCTTCTTTCTCAGGAACTCAAAGGAGCTGAAGATGAGTCCACCCTTTACCATCAGTGGCCACATCAGCAGTCCAGATGGTGGCTATATGAGATTCTCCAATAAGCTAGTCTGATGCGGGGGCAGCATCCAGCTTTCTGGAGCCCACGAGAGGTGAGTGGAAGGTTGGTGAGCTCCTGAGTGAGTCTGATGTCTCAGAAGGTTTTCAGACAGTCCAGGCATCCATCCAAGCCTAGCACCAAGGTCTGCTTGGAACCCAAAGTGATAATTTGATTCATCCTTTACCTTCTTGGAGTGAGTGTTGTAGGAGATGATCTCAGAAATGAAGGCTTGGGGTCATTATCCCCACCTCCTTCCAGCACTGGGCTGTTTCTTTTGCACTTGTCTATCCAATCTATTATCTCCTTCCTTTCCTGGGGAGGTTCTATTTCTAATCAGATAAATGCATCTAAAGTAGAATTTCATGTCTCAACATTTTGCTCTGAGATTAAGATTACAGATGGCTACCCTCTCCAAAGAGGCATCACGCCAGAGCTTCATTTCTGGAGTTTCTAAGCCCAGGAACCATGGGCCAGGTTCATGGATGGCTCACTCTTTGGTCACACCCTCCTTCCCCCTACCTTCGAGCCCATCCCTTCTCCACATTCCACTTGCTTCTTCCCAATCCAAACATTTTCTCTCTCCAGTAGTCCCTTGTGGGCCCTCAGTTTCTCTCTCATCTCCTTCCCACAGACCAGCACACTCAGCTTCTCCAGGTGCTCTTCCCTCTGCCACTCTGCTCTTGCTCAGGAGAAGATGGGGAAGATATGATGATATAGAGGAATCTTTAACAAACCTCATTTCTTTGTCACTCTCCCTTTTCTTTTTCTGTAGGAGGAGCCTGGATGAGCACCTGCTCCTCCCGAGCTCCCCTTGGCTGCCTTTATCTTCCTTGGTTTTTGTGGACAACGACATCTCCTCTGGCCACACCACCCTCCTGTGGTACGAGTGGTCCAGGAGAGTCAGGACTCTGGGGACAGAATCCAGCAAAGTAGCAATGGCTTTCTCACTGAAGCAAAAGAGGTGGCCATTCCTTAGGGAGGAAGGACTGGTCCCCAGGAGGTCCCCGAGCCTGTTGGGGAAAGTTCTAGGTATCCTGGAAGGCAAAGTCCCCCACCCCCCTGCCACCCAGTTTAGCCCAAAGTAGACTGGGCCTGGAGATTTCAGAGGGGAGCTCTACTTGAGGTGTCCCAACCACTTCCCTTTGCAAGGCTGAAACCAGGGGCCAGGAAACCAGTCCTATCTTCATTAGGCCAAGTCATGTCGGAATGGAGGTGATTGCAGATGCTGTCCAACACCTGGTTCTGTTTTCCTTGCTGTCGATCGGCCTCAGTGCCACACAGACAGTTTTGACAGCAATGCTGAGAACAGTCTAGAATATATTCTTGTTTTTAGTCTCTTGCGATGGGGTGAGCATGGGGTAGGAGAGCTCTGTCTCCTGGTGTTCTGCATTTCCTGTGTAGGGCCTGCCCTGAGATGGGGAAGTTAGACCAGAAATGGTAGAGTAGGGGAGAGGAACACAGGCTATACATAAAAAAAAAAAAAAACAACAACAACAGAGAATGTGCAAGAGAAATCAAGAACCAAGTGCAGCTAGGAGGACAGGTGAGCCGTTTGCCTTGTGAGTACCACTTCCTTCCATCTCTGTCATGCTGGACCTGATATTGAGCCTGCCCTGGGATATCATCTTAGTAGGTTCTTTCTTAATGCAAAGTTGTTCAATCCAGGGAAACTGAGTTCCTGGGGCAACTGTGAATAGAGTAATCCTGCCACTGCTGCAAGCTGTAGTTAGAACTTCTAGCCATGACCTCCCAGCCAATGTCCCAACAAAAAGGCCAACAAGGTGCAGAAGCCCAGGACAGGGATAGGTGAGAATGAGAGAAGTCATAATATTTGTCTTCCTATCCTCTCTCTCCTGTTCTTGCATAACAGATTGTAGAGGAAGGGGGAAAGGAGAGGTGACTTACCAGCAAATACCCCCTTGCTTCCCCCCAGAGTCTGGAGGCCATTCTCCCAGTGTAGCCACGCTCAGATTTAATAAACCAATCTCTGGAGTTGGAGGTCTTCATCTGAGTCCCATCTCTTCTATCCCTGAGTAAGTAGGGGTGGGGAAGAGCCCCACTGTCTTTGGATCCCTCCCTTTCTTGAAGGCCCAGTGGGAGAGGAGGGGTGAGGAGGGAGGGGCTGACTTTGGTACCCTTCTTTGGATTTCAGTTCTGAGGGCTGTGTCCCATTTCTTAACCCATGGGGTGGTCAGCTTCAATAAAATCTCAACTATGTCCTGCTCAGCATGGACCCTGAGTCTAGCCTATGCAGGGCTGCTCTAAGCTCCTGAAAGTGCTCAGGACTCAGCAACCTTGGGGAAACATGAAAGGGGCACAGAGCCCAGGTGGTCCTGGCCCCAGAGCTGGTGACTTCAGATAAAGAGACAGGGACAGCTGCTGAGTGCTGGGAGAATGGAGGGTATTTCCCATCCATGGGAGCGGAACTGAGACTGGGCTGCTTCCTCTTTTAGGGCCCTCTGACGTGTTCCCTGTCCCCTCTGCCTCCCCCTCATTGTCCTGACTGCCACAGTTCTACTGACTTTCTTTACCCTTGGGCTCCAGACCCCACCCTAGGATTTTTACAAGTTTTCACTGAGGGCCTCTTTCAGGTCATTCAGAAATGATTAGGAAACAGATGCCCAGAAACCTGGCTATAGGTCTGGTTGGGCTGGGCACTGACTAGGCACTCAGACCCATGGCTATGCTGGGCCTCCCCAGAACCTCCTTCTTCTATTGATGCCACTGTCCTCAAGAGCCAGGAGGTAGCCACGAGAGCCAGAGTGCTATGGGCTGGACATTTCTAGTCCCTCTGCCACCCTGTTCCTCTTTGGCGCCTTTGCCAGGACTCTTCTGCTTGGAATGCCTTTTATCCCCTGCCTCCACCAACCCACCCAACCACAATTAATCTCCATGGTTGGCTCAAGCCCATCTTTCCTATGGTTTCCCTCGGGCCTCCAGGCTGAATGCCACTCATTTTGATCCTGACTGTAGATGACCACGTTTCCACCATTTGTACTGTTCTCTACTCAGGCTGAGCTCTTTGTAGGCAGGGTTATGTCCCATAGGTTTTTAGTAATTAAACATGGAACACATAAGAGGTACTCAATACATGCTTGCTGAGTACAGAAGAAACACCCAGTATGGCCACAGAAGGCTGCCCTGTCCCAGAGAAATATGCCCAGTGATATGAGGAGGAGAAGAACTGCTTGCACAATACACAGTCTACAGAGTACAATGCATTTTTTTAAAATTTATTTACTTTTTAAATACATTTGTCTCTGCCTCCCCCCTACCTCTTTCCCTTGCCCCCTCCCTCCTTCCCTCCCTCAGCTCTTCCCCTTGGGTTTTGTCCATGAGTCCTTGCTATATGTTCCTTGACTTTCCCCTTCCCTTCCCTTTCCCTGCCCCCCCCCTTTCCTCTTGTCTCTGTTGGTTTTTTTTCCTTTCAGTGTTGCTGGTCATATTTTCCTTGCATCTTTGCATTGTTGGTTAGGTTCCGCTTATAGGTGAGATCATATGGTATTTGTCTTTCGCCCCCTGGCTTATTTCGCTTAGCATGATGCTCTCCAGTCCCATCCATGCTGTCGTGAAGTTTAGTAGTTCTTTTTTTCTTTCTGCTGCGTAGTATTCCATTGTGGATATGTACCATAATGTTTTGATCCAATCATCTACTGATGGGCATTTAGGTTGCTTCCAACACTTGGCTATTGTAAATTGTGCTGCTATGAACATTGGGGTGCATAGGTTCTTTTGTATTGGCATTTTGGTGTTCTCAGGGTATAGTCCCAGCAGAGGAATCACTGGATCAAAAGGCAGTTCCATTTTCAGCTTTCTGAGGAAATTCCACACTGCTTTCCATAGTGGCTGCACCAGTCTGCATTCCCACCAACAGTGTACTAGGGTTCCCTTTTCTCCACAGCCTCGCCAGCACCTGTTGTTTGTGGATCTGTTTATGATGGCCATTCTGACCGGTGTGAGGTGGTACCTCATGGTGATTTTGATCTGCATTTCTCTGATGGCTAGTGATGCTGAGCATCCTTTCAAATGCCTCTGGGCCCTCTGTATCTCCTCCTTAGAAAAGCATCTGCCCAGGTCCTTTGCCCATTTTTTGATTGGATTGTTTGTCTTCTTGGAGTGGAGTCGAGTGAGTTCTTTATATATCTTGGAGATCAAACCTCTAATCTGATGTATCATTAGCAAATATATTTTCCCATACGGTTGGCTCCCTTTTCATTTTGCTGATGTTTTCTTTCGTCGTGCAGAAGCTTCTTATTTTGATGAGGTCCCACTTGTTTATTCTTTCCTTTATGTCCCTTGCTTTACGAGACATATCAGTGAAAAAATTGCTGCGTGGGGTATCTGAGAGTTTCCTGCCAATGTTCTCCTCTAGGACTTTGATGGTGTTGCGACTTCTATTTAAGTCTTTCATCCATCTTGAGTTTATTTTTGTGTATGGTGTCAGCTGATGATCCAATTTCAATTTTTTGCATGTAGCCATCCAGCTCTCCCAACACCATTTGTTGAAGAGGCTGTTATTGCTCCATTTTATGCTTCTGCCCCCTTTGTCAAATATTAGATGCCCATAGAGACCTGGGCTTATTTATTGGGCTTTCTATTCTGTTCCACTGGTCTATGGGTCTGTTCTTGTGCCAGTACCAGATTGTTTTGAGTATGGTGGCTTTGTAGTAGAGTTTGATGTCCAGTATTGTGATCCTTCCTACTTTGTGTTTCTTTCTCAAAATTGCTGCGGCTATTCGGGGTCGTTTATGGTTCCATATAAATATTTGAAATGTCTGTTCTATTTCTGTGAAATACGTCATTGGTATCTTAATAGGGATTGCGTTGAATCTATAAATTGCTTTGGGTAGTATGGATATTTTAAGGATATTAATTCTTCCAATCCATGAGCACGGTATATGCTTCCATTTGTTTGTGTCTTCCTTAATTTCTTTTTTCAATGTTGTATAGTTTTCTGCATACAGGTCTTTTGTGTCTTTGGTTAAATTTATCCCTAGGTAGTTTATCTTTTTTC